TGGTCTTTGGCTTGTTCTACAGCTTTATCATGTTGGGCCAGGTGAAGTTCCTTCTCTTGAGCTTCTGTGAGCTCATCCTTGGTCATTCCACCAGATATGTTCTCCTTAACAGGTATCTCAAATCTCTGATTAGCTTTATCTTTTAGTGTACCATTAACCTGCTGAAAACAGGAGTGCAAATGAACTAAATGCATGTTCCAAAGCTTTTCCACTAGAATTTAGCCACTTAACAAAAAGAAGAGAGATTACTTTCCCAAATAAAAACTGCATACCAAGTTGAAAGAAGATGCGTGTTGTGTGTGTGTGCGAGCATAAAAACCAACAAAGAACATAAGTACAACAAATAGAACTTTCTGATCCCTTTGTACAACAATGGTTGAAAAGAATTGTTGCATTACAAAATAGAATTTCCGAAAGAAAAAATATTACAGTAGCATCGGATGACTGAGAATGTACAGCAGTATTATCTTCACTATTTGCAACATTTGTCAATGAATCAGAATCCATCTTTGTTCTGTCCATTTGTGGATGTATGTTACCCCTTCTAGCAGAATCATCCAAATGGTCTTCCACCAACTGAATTCATGACAGGATTTGTACCACATTAAAAATCTCTTAGAAAGTGAAAAAGCTAAAATGGAGACCGCAAAGGGAAAATTCTTACCATAGCTGACTCAACAGTTACAATGCCATGAAGGTTTAGCTGTACTTTAACTTTAATCTTTGCCTTTTCATTAGAGGAGGCTTGGAAAGGACCAATCTGCATTAAAAATAAATAAGTAAATAAAAATTCACCAACTTATAAGCCATCCTGGTTCAATTATAAAATATCCATCCAGTGCACAAGGAGCAAAGCATACACTTCCATGGCATGTATTCAAAGAGATAGCAAATGAAAATCATTTTTAAGTCTCGAGTTTTCATGTTAGCCATACTTAAGTGCCCAAGAATGAAGACAAAAAGATAGCAGTTGAGATAGCACTGTACAGTATTTAGTTTCCATGTCACACAAACAAATCTATGGATCTTAAAATAAAAGCTGCCTTTTGTCCTGGATAATCAATATGCATATCACATCAATGCTTTAAAGTTTTTACTCAGCTCACAGATAGCTGGGTCAGAAACAGACAGCATCAGTTAAAGCACATGAGATGAAGATGGTCCATGAGTGTGAAATCATAATAGACTGGCGTTGAAACATTTGTTGAGATTTCCTTAATGACAATGCATGTGTGTGCACATGCACGCATTACATGTGACATTGACAGATTCATAAACCTGAACACTATTAGCTCGTTGTTATTGACAATGTACATGTATCACACCAATCTTTCTAGAAAAGAAAAACTTGCCTCATCCTTAATCCATTCGCTTCCAATTGACTGAGATAATAGAATAATAAAAAAAGACAAAAGGATTTCAAAGTTTTCTATCAGACAAACTCTACTAGGCTTACTGTGAAAGAACTCATATTTGTAGATACACCAGCAGGGAGTTCATTCAGATCAGCATAGAATGCTTCCAGATGTAACAAGTTACTCCGTTGAAATGTCAAAACTTTGGTACTTGGAAAGGGTTGGCCTTTTGGAAACAGTATGCAATTAGAACCAGTGGAGATTTGGGCACCATTTGATGAGAATCCAATGGAGAAAGGAAAAGCATCCTGAACCTGCACAGGATATGATGAAATGCCAATCACTCTTGTATATAAGAATGTACCAAACATACAAATTTGTGTCTCCATGTAAGAGAGCACGCAGCAGACCAATTTTACTTCATTGTATTTCTGCAATGTTATTTTCTGAGTTGAATATAATGACACCTATGAGGACACACACACAGATGTAATGTCTCCCATATAACCTGGTGATGAATTCTATCAGACATAGACAAACAGGCTTGCTTTCGCTGGGTGGGGGGACTTAATTGTTTAAGCATAGAAAATAGTCATGGTTAGGGTAAATCTGATTAACCAGACTGCATCAGAAGAGAAAAGGACCAAAAGGGACATCAAACTTTGAAATCCACTCTGATAGCTGGAAGAATGGCAAACAACAAAGTTCGATAGAAAAGAATTCTGAGAAACTAATCATTCAGATAAATACAAACCTCGTATTCTCTGACCCGAAAAATTGGACTAAGCATTGCACACTGGAGAGCACATCCACGTGCCACACATTCACTTGAATTCAGTGTCCGGCTGGGTTCTTTCCCATATAGAGAAGATAGCAACTTACTAATTGCTGGTATTCTAGATCCTGATCCAACAAGCTCAACAGAATGGATTTTCCTCACAGATAAACCTGCATCCGCTAAAGCTTTTCTGGAAGGAACACTTATTCTTTCCAGTAATCCTGATGCAAGCCTCTCAAATTCCTCTCTCTTGATAAAACCTTTGACATCTTTCTCATCCATCAAACACTCAATGTTTAGAGGAGCCTCTGCATTTGCACTCAAAACCTTCTTCAACTTCTCACAAGCTGACCTTAACCTTATAGATGCTCTCATGTTAGAGTACACATCTATGTTGTAAAGCTCCTTGAACTGTTTTGCAAAATAAACAAACAAAACATCATCAAAGTCCCTCCCTCCCAAACTGCTATCAAAGGCATGTGACAGTATCCTCATATGCCCAGCCTCAAATGATACAATAGACACCTGAGTATCACAATGACCAATGTCAACAAAAGCAACATAAGTTGGCCCTGTTTTAGAGAAGTCTGTTTTGTATATACCATAACTGAGTGCAGTTGCAGCACAGTCATGCATCAATCTAAGAGGCTTCAATCCAGCAATTGTGGCAGCATCCAAATATGCTCGTCTCTGCAAATCTGTGAAATATGATGGTATCCCAATCACACAATCTGTTACAGGAATTTCCAAATTTTTCTCTGTTACATTTTTCAAATTTGAAAATAGCATAGCCAGTATCTGAACCGGGGTAAATGTGCGTGCCTCACCCAAATATTTCAAGTGAATCAAAATGCCTCCATCCTTCCCTTCAGAAGTTTCAAATGGCAACAACTTTAGCTCATTTTGAAACTCAGGATCCTTAAAATTCCGGCCAATCAGTCTTTTCACTTGAAAAATAGTCGATTTCAGGTTCATCACAGAAGAAGCAGCACCTGCTGACCCAAGGAACCGCTGCTTCTCCCCAAAACATACCACAGCCGGGGTTTCACGTTTTGATTCATCATTCAACAAGACATCAACACCCCGTTGTTTCACCACAGCAATAACACAGTTTTCATTACCAATATCAAACCCAACCACACTCATTTCAGTTCACCAACACCCTATACTGTTGATAACAACAATTATATTATAACCCCACAAGGAAATCACTCAAATCAACATTATTCTTCTCCTTGCTTCAATTAATCAACTCAAGTACTCATCACCAAATCCCTTACAGCCTCACCACAAAAAGGTACAAAAAACTACATAAACAAAAAAAATTAATAAAAATAAATTCTACCGAGAAATTCAGTTATTGCTTAGCAAACAAACAAATAGAGCAAATAAAAAATGACTTCACTAAAATCAATGCATTGTTGGGTTGCTTATAAAATGTAGAATCAGAAAACATTATCAAAGTTTCAATATTACATCCTCAGTGGCTCGAACTCGAAAGAAACGAAAAGCTCATACTACAACCACCCAGATAACAATCGCCCTTTGTAGTTTGACTCACAAAGTTCAAACCTTTCTAAACTTTTTAAGCCAAAACGAAAGGACCCAGATGAAAAATATTCTCACTTTCTTCCACATTCCTCGATTTTCAAAGAAACCAAGCAATATGTGAAAGAGCCCAGTATTATTAACAAGGAAATAAAAAAAAATCAACAGAATCTTGGAAATGATAAAGTGAAAGAGGCAAAAGAAAGATAGTACCTTTATGCATAGACAGTATTTGTGATAAGAAGTTGGAGAATTATGAAAACGGAGGTATGGAATTGAAGAGAAATTTAGCTATGGTAGAGAGACAAAATCGCCGCTTCACTCGATGATGCCAGATACTCCCATTTTTCTAACATGTCCGTGCATGAAGAAAAGTAAGAAATAAGTGTAACAGTATTTATTTATTTACTATAAATATTTTGTAAATAAATGTTACTGTAATTAATTGAGCTGATTTGATTTTTAAAGTATTTTTTATTAATAAATATATTTATTAATTATATATAGCACTAATTTTTTTATATAAATTATATTTATTTTTAATAAAAAAATTATCTATAATTAATGAACTTCATGTTTAATTAATGAATTTAAAGTAAAAATAAAAGTTCTAGGATAAAAATACTTTATAAAAAAAATTATAAAGTTGCAAAAATTATAAAATTATTATTATATCAAAATATTATTTTATAATTTTTTTATTAATGTTTTATTAAGATTGAATATTAACTAAAGTTATTAAGACCGATAGATATTATGTTTATTTATAAAAATAAACAACTACTCTTATAAAATTAGATACAAGGAATACTTGAAATTAATATACAAGTGTATGTTATATGACATGTATAGAAAGATAATTTTATATGGAGAGATCACTAATATAATTTTATATAGAAAGATCACTTGTGTCTATATAAAGATTCTCATGCTAATTGCATAAGTGATCCTTATATTTGAGATTGCTAAATTATTTTATATAGAGAGTATTATTTTGATCTTGATCACATATTATCCTAATTAACAGTAACAAATAGACACATAATATGTATACTATAAAATATATTTATTTTCAATAGTATTGATTGTGAAATCCTTTAGCCAAGGTGAAATATATTTTGAAAAGAATTTTAAAATTTTATTCAGAAATCAATAACTATAATGTTGAGAATTAAAATAATTTAATAAACTATATATACTTCATGATATAATATCTAAATCGGAACATTATCGATAAAAAATAATAATTACATTAAGAAACTAGTCTCTGAAAAGTTAAATCAAATCATTTATAACTTTCTAAATTGATAATAAATTAAATTATTTCATTTACTTAATTTTATTTTATTTAGAATTATGATTTATATTTGGGTCAATTTATTACAAAACCTAATGAGTCACGTATATAAGAATCATTGATCAAAAATTAAAATAAAATGATTAATCAAGTGTGATTTGATTGCAAATAAATTTTAAAAATTAAAGACTAGAATATAAATATTACTGGGATTATAATTCTAGACCTTGAAAAAATTAAGTAGGGACTTGATTGAAAAAATTTCTAGAATTATCCTAAAATAAGATATTTTATCATTTATAGAGTTTTTAGATTTTTTTTTATATAAAATGTTATTTATCTTATTTTCTAAGAGAAGATGATAAGAGTATAATATAAAAACACCTAAAACATAAAAGAAAAAACCCAACACTCTAAGATATAACAATCTTTTTCTACTAAAAAGGTTGAGAAGATTTCTCATTAATGATTCATATGGATTACCATTAGAAGTCCAACACTTGAGTTGGTTTTGTTATTTTTTCTAGGTTTTTTAATTTATTGTTTAATTTAGATTTTTATTTTTATTTTGAATTTACTAATTATTTTCTAGTAAAAATAGGATTTTTATTCTATTTATAAATCTTATAAACAAGAGACATATTTCATTAGTTTTATTCTAAAAAGATAAATTGCAAATTTAGTATTATACCTTTTACTAATTAAAATTCTTGTGTTTTGTATGCTGTTGTTATAACTTCAGCCCGCATCATGTCATATTTGTGTCATTTCACTGATGAAAAGTTATGGCGAAAACAACAAAATGTGCGCAAAAGCATCCCAAATCAGATCCCAACAATTGTTTTGTTGTTTTCCTAATCTGCTGTTGCTCTATTCAGCGTCGAAGAATAGAACTCCGAACACACATTAACTGCGAAGAAACAGGTGGAGAAAGTGAAGAAAACGAGAGCTTGCAGACATGAATTGTTATTTTCCTAATCTGCTGTTGCTCTATATCCATTATTAATTCTAGATAGGGTTTGGTAATCCCTGATTGATAAGAGACCAAGGAATTAATGCAACTGAGATGATGGTCAAGTGTGATTAGTGTAGGTATGATCAGAGTGCTTTTGAAGAAATTAAGGATCAAAATAACCATGAAAATCTCTGTCGGCATTTGCATTGAGTTAAATCTAAACACTCAAAAAGGTTGATTGGTGGCAATGATGGAAGTATAAAGGGTTTGGATTTCCCAACATTTTCATCCAAAATTGATTTTGACTAGCATATTTGAAAGGTTTGATCCTTGACAATATCTATGGCAATTGGTAAAGAAAAAAACTGAAGAGAGAAAGATACAAGTGCAGAGGAAATGGAGAAAAGGGGTAAAGAAAAAGATAAAAAAGAAAATCAAGTCGGGGATATTTGTATTTTTTTATTAAAATTTAAATTTAATGTTAACCCATTATATAAACTATACAGTGTAATTTTTAAAACATTGAGGTAAAGTTTTATGGTATTTAAATATCTGGAGGGTCAAGGTAATTTTTGAAAAAAATATTTAAATCATGGATATTTTTATGTTCTAAAAAAATTGTAATAGAGTGATTTTCCCTAAATATAATTGATAAGTTATAAATACTATTAATCGTAGGGTTAAATGTTTGTGTTAGCAAACAAGAGGAAGAATAAGTGAGAGGTTTGAAAATATATCAAGTAACCATTCCATTTTTATTTTCTAAATCTTTTTAATGAGAAAAATAAAAGCTATAGATTAAAATTAAATAGAATTTCTCCCTTAATGAAATTAAAACTGCAAATGAAATAAATTAATAAATAAAGCTGAATTAACATATTATTATTCTCCTTTTTTTGACAAAATAATATTTAAGATACTCCATTTTATTTATTCTAAAGGTTTTTCTATTTTATTTTTCAATTTATCAATCTAATATTTTGGTTTCAAATTTGTTACGAGTCTTTGCGATTTTAAAATTGATGGGGTTTTTTTCCCTAATATATATTTCTCAATCTTTTCATTTATTTTTCTCGAGTTTTCGGAATAAAAATCTAATTAATCCCAATTTATAATATTGGTGTTCCCAGTAATTTTGCTGCTGAGCTTATGCTTCATAATTTTACTGCGTGTTATTAGAATTAAACAAGAAATTCAGAAACTAAACACAGGCAGGCAATATATAAGTTGTGACAGAACAATTGTATAAATTCTTATTTAATAGATAAATAATGGAAATTATTAACTTCCTGGTGTTAATTTGCTCATCGCAGTTGTACCAGAATCTGCTCTTATCACTGTAGGGATACAAACAAGTGATTGTATGGAAAGCATAGGCAAATATCGTTTCTGCCTACGCGATCCTAATAGAATAATTGCTTAATTTCTTATTTAATATATATAGAGTGGAAATTATTAATACATTCTAGTTAAAAGAGACAAGAACCAAATTACTTGATCTGCTACACCATAAAATTGCTGTCCCTGTGATCTACTCTATGACTGATGGTGAGCAGAGTCCACGATGGCTTGACTTCCACTTCCAGTATGCACCGTCCTCACTGTTCCCTCGGCCATTGCCGGCTTTGATTATCTGCATCCATAACCTTGACGAGCGCAAGCCATAGCTTCTGATCACGCCTGAAAGAATAGACTTGGACAATATCATCCACCTTTAGCGCTCCCGCATTCCTATCCAAAACATCATTCCAGTTGGAGGTTAACACATAGGAAACGGTGTTATTCATCTGCCACCTCCTCAGCCTCATTGTGCTTTGATGAACTTTACCATCTTCAAGACCCAGTTCCACCAGCTTCACTTCTGTGCTCTTGCTCTCGCTTCGGCACACCTCCTCCATCTCCATTTTATTCAGAAACTCATGGCCGTCCTTAATCTGATTCAAAGGCATTGAGAAGCGTTCCTGGTGCTTGTCCATGTCAGTCTTGAAGATTTGTTTCATTATCCTTAACTTGATTTCACTGTCACGGCCTTCTTGATAATTTATCGCGGATTTTATTTGAGAAGAGAAATCGGGTGGTGGACACAAACCCAGCTTCTTGAAATCCACCCTCTTTCCCATCTTCTTTGATGATCTCTGTCGAAGAATATCATCTTCGACGTCGATCCCTTGGCTTTTCAAGACTCGCTTTCTGCCTGCTGTCTTTTTCTCCTGGCTACTTTTGATCTCCGTTCTCAAAAGAAGATGATCTTCTTGACCGAATCTGATGCAGTGATTGTTTTTCCTGACAAGCTTGGGTGTACTTGCCCTTATTTTCTTTGGTACAAGAATAGTTCGGAGTGGGTTTGCAAATTCATCAATGCTGATAGTAGTGCTCTCGGCCTTTTGATCAGGACATTGGGTTTTCATGGAAGTAAACCCTAGTCTTCCACTTCCTCTTCTTTTCTTGGGTACGAAAACCATACTGGCCAGGGTCTTCAAAAGCTGATATCTTTCGGCACCGGTAACCAGCATGGACGGACCCCCGAATTCCTTCTCCAGAGGATTTGACGCTTCTTTTTCATATTCTGTTTCCTTACTAAGCCCTAGATAATATTCATCAACATCATCAAAATATGGATGATAGTTTATGCCAGGCGTGAGCACCATCTTTCTATCTCTTCTTCAACAAATACGGGAAGACAAAAATATGGCAAGAAACTAAAAAACCAAGACTGCAATGAGAGATTTAGAGACAAAATTAACCAAGACACTTGAGAAAGTAGATGGCTTCGTGACATATCTGGATGGCTATATTTATAGAGAGAAAGAGAGAGAGAGAGAGAGAGAAGCCAGGCAAATAACAAATCCTTTTACAAACCGGATAGGTTAAGACAGCTAGCTGTCTTAGTTTATAGCTTTCCGAGAACAATCAGGATACAATACGAATTAATTTGAATTTGTCCTAGTAAAAAAAGGTTTTCAACCGAAAGGGTTTCTCCCTCGAATGAGTTTACAAATGATGATATCTTTGTGGTGACTATGCATCCCTACTACCATAAAAAAGCTTCAGTTTTTCCATGGCGGCACCATGCTAATTAAGGCAGATAAGAAGCCAACTGAGAAAATTAACAACGCTAGCAGAAGCAAAAAAGAACAAAAAAATGCCAGAGGAGAAGAAGCTGAGAGCCGAGAAGAAGCTCCCAAAGAAGGGAACATAATTCAGGAGCTCCCCACATAAGGACTAAAACATTCACATACAATATGCCCCCCATAACAAAAATGTTTCCTTGAACGGGAATTAGTTTTATTCTTTCTTTTCTTCTACTTGTAATTGGATTAATTAAGTTTTATAACTTAATGTCAGCATTATAGCACTGTCAAAATGCTTTAGTACGAAGAGAAAAGTCCCTTTATCAATAAAAATCTTGAAACCTAGCTAAAATAAATCCAAAAATAACTAGAAAAATAAAAAAAATTCTAAACAATATTTTATAGGACTAATTTGAACATAAAAATATCCTTGATATCTTCATGCGAGCTTTACATCGCTTAAAATAAATTAAAAAACATTAACCTTTACAAGGTATGAAAAATCAAAATCCAAAAATAAAGAAAAAATAACTAAATCTATCTCAAATAATATTTTTGAGGTCTAATTTGAGAGTTTTTCAAAGCTTGACTAGCCATATCTTTAAAATCACTAAAAAAAACTTCAACTCGATTAAACAATCATATATATATGTTGCCATTATATTAGCCTGTCATAACTAAACTTTTTTTTTAAATAACTTTATGTCACTAATTTGTAAATATATTTATTAAATCATCTATATATGATATGATGTTTGTAGATCTCTATCTAGCTATTTAAAATTTTCAATCTCTCTTACCCTGCTTTATCAACAAGTCTTCATTCTTTGTATAGATCAAGGAATCCTAATATAATATTTTATAATGTCTCCATGAAACTTTTCAAAATTTATGTATGTGCTTGTCCTTGATTGCAAGATGAGCAATATCTGCAATGGAGGGGGATCACAATATGTTTTTACCTTCTTCAACTTGATATCAAAATATTAAAGTTACTTTTCAATTCCTT